TCACGTCAACGCCACTATCGCCGCCGACGGGTATGTGGTATTTGTGACGTATACCTACTAACAGGAAGACGTATCGTTCCCCTCAACCCTATATAATGATAATAACTAGTTTGTCATAATAGCCGACATTCCATCATTGCTATATTTTACGTATACAAAAGGATTTTTTTCACATAACAAGAACCGTAAATGGTTTTTTTTTTTAATTGTTATTTTTTTTCCAGTGTGACGTGATCACAAATAATATGCGTATTATGATATCGATACGTGCAAGTTTGGTGATGCAAGTTTAAACTAGTTTTGGATTTTTTACACGTCCCGGAGGTGCCTATTCATAATATATGTAAATATTTCGTTTGAATGTTTACCTAACTTATACCGCGGCTACGCACTCATCGTGCCATGGAGGTATATTGCGCGGCTTCCGCTGCTGTATATACTATGGTACATATATATATAGTATAATTTCCTGTTTCTGAGCATACAATTTCGTACCAGTAATAATTGTGTTGGCGGTCATTATTATATTGTTAGACTCGTGTGACATAATTTACGTATTTTGTTGGCATGTACGCGCTAAATAAGTATAATTATTACGATTGTTAACACTTGTAGACAAATTTATTTTCGTAAATTAATTTGGAGACTAAATATTGAATTAATGAAGCCATATTCAGGCATACCTACACGTATATTATGTCCGTGTGTATAATTATACCTAATTAATATTATACGTACTCACATGCCAATCAAACGCACTCTCCCGTTTGAAAATAAATAGTTTTCAAGTCTGGGAGCCACGCCTATAGTGTTTTGTCAAAATTCATATATTTTTTATTTTTTCATATCGAATTTCAAAAGAAATCAATGAAATCATACAGAGGTACCTACCTACGATTATGTGATTGAACTAACTGGAATCTAACAAGAGAACCATGGAATGTATATTATTCCTATTTACAATGATAACAATAATATCTACTTTGAAATATTGTATAGTTTGAATACACATAATATATATCTATTATCTATAAATATCATTATAACTATGTGGAATAATGTATTCAATAACTATTCACAGATATTGAATATTATACGATGAATGATTTCCAATCATTTATATTACATAGCACATTTTGATAACTAACAATAAGCTATAAATCTATATAAGATAGGTAGATAATCTTTTAAAATGCCCATGTTCAAAAAATATCCTAAATCAAAACTGTACAAAACCGTAATATCATTATTGAAAAAAAAATTTAAAAATCGAGAAATTCTAGAGAAATAACAATTTTTGCTGTATAACAGACAACAGAAGTCACAATATATTTTAAATGATTCTTCTATATAAACTTAAGCACCATAATAATTATCTTCTTATTAAGATTTATATAATATTTTGACACTCGCTGGAAATACCCGATGGAGACCGAAAAGAAGGTGACATAGAAATGTTTTAATTACTGAAATACAACTAAAATATCAAGAAATGCGTTTTTCTAAACACAATGTTTAAATTTTAAAATTACCTGTTAACAATGATTGTACTATAATTTTATTATTTTTATCTACCAGAAAGTTTCTCAGGGAAATATCATACCCTGTGATACCCATATCAGTTATCTACATTTGTTTCAGAGGAATGCTATCTCGACGGCCATGTTGAATCAGAATTCAATTCCTAGAGCTAGTTACGGTGGAAATTGTTTCTTTAATTAATAATCCATATAAACGCATATTAAATAGTACCTAACTGAAAGTACTTAGGTATACATTATAATCCTAGCCGCAGTAGATATGATAAGATCGATAAACCAAAGCTACAACCTAAGTAGATGTTCATTGTTTTTTTGTAGACCGTATAATAGTTACTAGTTACAATACGCTATACTCAATAATAATTCATAGCAATTTACAATATATTATAATAATACAACGTATACGTCTTCTAGACCTCGAGGCATACGCCATGCAGCTAAAAAATCAATATTCTATAATATAACCAATGATAATATGTATTAGTAATTGGAAGTATTACGACCATAGTCTATATCTATAGTATTAATGAATTCTATACTCGTTTAAACATTTGATAGGTACTGTTTTTTTATTTATTACAATTATTAATCTACAGCATATAATTAAAACGAAAAGTAGAACATAATATTATATATTTTATACAAATATATGAGTAAAAATATTATGTAAAACAACTTTGTAATGAAATATTGTTTGAAGAAAACACTACGATTGCGTGTCATTTTAATAGATTTTTTTATGGAAGATGATTTCAAATACAAGACCTTTAATTGTTTATGTATACCTACTGTGTAGTAGTGCCGTCGCGTAATTATGGCGAATTCGTATAAATGAAAAGTTACTGATATATAATATTTATAATAACAATTTAAACTAAATTTTTTTGGAATAATATATGATATGTACCAAATGATGTATTAAGATCGTTTATCTATAATGTAAAAAAAATGTGTTTTTCTACTCGTCACAATTAGTTTATTGTTACGCATTACGTTTACGTATATAAAAAAAACAAAATATTTTTTGTATGAAATTTAAATTTAAATTCGTGTGTACGTATCATATAATATTATATGCATGTTATAATTATACGTCTAATATATTGGTCGTTTGATTAATATGTATTTCTGTTTAATGATGTTGAACATAAATACAAAAATGTGATATATTCTTAATATCTTAATTAAGGTAATTGGCACTAATTGCATTTATGTTTAACCATGTGAACTTGAAAGTAATAACTACTGGTTTATTTTATAAATTATTAAATTATGTATAAATGAAAAACGTGTTTTAGTGTACCTGCGTAGACTTTTCTTCAATTTATATGCTTATTATATAGATCCGTCATGCAACGTGATGTACTGCAGAGTGCAGGGTCATTTGAAAAAAAAATATATAATATAGCTGTACATAAATTGTAAATATTTGTAGGTACACACTATGTCATAATATACACATGCACAATATTGAATAAAAATAGTCTCTTACAAAAGTAAATTTGTTTTAGTAGATTTATATTGCAATGATTGATTGAACTATATAATGGTTACAATATAAAAATGTCCAAAAAATAAAGTTGGAATTTTGTAAATGTTCACGTTTCGGAAGATATTTATCTTGGTACAAACAAACRTATCTTTTCACAACTGCATTTTTTCACGATATTTTAGATTATAAATTGCTGATACAAATAAATGGTTTGAAAATGCAAAGAATAAATTTCAATGTATAATAGTCTATAAGGTCATGTAAAATAAAATTAAATTGTTTAGGTATATCGCGATATACATCAATACGTCCTATATTATAAGTACACAATATACCTAATACGTATGTCCTAAATTGTATAAAATACTTAGAATGCAGTATCGACAGCATTTCTGACATTTTCTGTCAAGGTATTTTTTATGTATGACCATTGACCATATTAGGATTTTTCAAATTTCAATACATATTTTAATCTTAATAGGTATTATCGCTCAAATCAATGACGAACACTAAATTATTAAAATATTAAATAAGGGGGGGGGGGTTGTAAAAAAAATATGATATTATAAAACGTTTTTATATTCTTATATTAAGTAATATTATCTAAGAGAAGTTGAATGCCCAAATTCTAATATATGTGTACACCACTGAGTCATACAATATGTTAAAACTATAATATTATTATGATGTAATACACAGTAGTTTCGTAATTTAATTTCTTTGATCTTATTGAAATTGGATGATTTTGTTGATTCGAAAATTATGTTAGTTTTTTCATATGGACTTAAGATGGTATACTCTTAAAAATGAAATTTATGTATACAATAACTTAGTTATATATAATATCCAAAAGAGTTTTATCTTATAATCTATATAATTGTTGGTGTGTTGTCAAGTTTAATATAAAAAATGTATTGTGCGTAGGTGTTTATCTACGACATTTAAAATATTTCACTAGTAACAATAATAAGTATATAATGTCGGTGTAACGAAGCCGTTTATAATATATGGCCATATACCTAGGTAAGTTACACAAATATAATTAATTTGCAATAAGATTAATGATATAAATTATAGGAATAGGTACCTAGTACCTACCTATACCTATAGGTACTATCATTATAACTTTATACAGCATTATGGTTCTATTATTGGGTTTTCCTATATTGTATATGATATAAAGGTCATTGAACAAAAGAACTTTTGAAACATTCGACATTTAGTTATTTACATAAGGTAAACTATAAAAATAATAAACAGCTGGCATTAAATAGGAACAGTTTTACATTTTCATGGTAAAAATATGGAAAACACGCATTAAATAGATTTAAAACGTAAGATTAAAGACATTTTTTTAGATATTATTTCTTTTGAAGATAGTAGTTGAGATAATCTATATTGTAACTATTAAATGTATAAATGTATAATATTATTAAAATGTCAGAACATACGCGTATTTTATTGCAGATAAAATAATATTTCAATATCAAATTTAATTTTAATTTTTAGATTATATGTATGATATCAAAAATATAATTATTAAAGTTTTAGTAAAAACGAATTGTCACCAATATATGGGTACATCAAAATTGTTACAAACATAATACAATATATATATCTACACTATATATATATGTCATAAGTTAAAAATTCAACAATTTTAGAAAGGAAAGAATAAATTGTCAACAATTGACATTGTACTTAATAGTTTTATTTTTACCGGTTATCCAAGTAGGTAACTTCATGTGGTGACTATAAATATATTATATCAGGTACATTCATAATATAATTATATGAGTCACGAAATGTTACATTTTTTAAAAGAACCGATTATAGGAACAGATTATGGCATCATGTCAGTTTGAGATGTTCTTTATTTCAAATATATTATAGCTATATTTAAAACGATTTTTCTTACATGCATTCATGTACCTATATAAAATATAATTATAAAAATCATGACTCACGGATATGCAGAATCCGATCAATAGGATCAGATAAACCGAAGTTGGTTTCATGGCGTCGGCGGAGACTTTAACGAACGTCTTTTTTATTTTCCTCCAATATAATTATTATATGGAATAGATTACTCTTATTTTGTATATCGTTCACAAAATAATATTCTGATCGCAGTATGTTATTTCGAATACGCGCGTTTTACGAGTGTATAAACGCATTATTTACGTTGCGTCAAACTGGAAAAATCGAATTACATTTGATAAGATAAAAAAACACAAGCAATTTACATCAGGTGCGACCTGAATGCGAACGAGTGACCACGGACCGACGCAGTGAAATACTGAGGACAACAACGAAAAAACGAAACCAACGCGACACGCAACGCGAGTAGGCGAGTTTGGTTTGGTGCACCGATGTGACGGTGCACGGTGTGCGGGGTGAAGTAGAACCTTGGAATGAGTAGAGGTGTGGAGGTTGACTGAGCGCATGCGCCACCTTAATATATACCTATACGACTGTACCTACCATATAATAATGAAATGTATGATTGTTATTTACTTTTTATGAAAATTGTTTATTTTTTACTCGTAGATGCGCGTATATTAGGCAATTAAATATATTGTGAACGAATTACACGTAAAATGTATAGAAATAAATATACATCTTTAGATATACAGACGAAGAAAAAGTCAGAGAAGCGACGATGACTGGTAAATATAGTAAATATATAGATACCCGCGTCCCGCCATAATACCTATACTGGTTGCCTGCTGCAGGTTCTAATATTATAGTACCTAATAGTAATATAACCAAAAGCAGTAGATAATTGGGTTTAACTCGTGGGAGAAAACCAATTTACTTAACGAAGTATCTTAGATCTGAAAGTATGAAAATCTCAAAAATTGTTGGGTACCTACATGTTAAGAATGCGATGAATGACTTAATGATTGTTTTACAAAGTTATTTTAGTTTTGTATGTAAATTATAAAAATAAGTTTTTATTCTACAATAACAATAATTAGGTATAATATAATATACCTAATAATTATCTTTGTTCGAATATTTAATAAATTATTTTTACTACTAATATGAATAATTATGATATGAAATACGAATATTGATATATTATGGAAACAATTACAAAATGATTGTAGAATATATTATTATTACAGTGTGTAGTACCTACTGTAGTGCGTATATTATATATGTATATATTCTTGAGATCCCGTTCAATAAACTCATCCGGTCGCTTATGCATAAGTGAAAGTATTTCCTTGAATGGAATAATTTATAAAATGTAAACAAATACTAATGCGAAAGTGCACAGTAAAATACCAAAATATGATAAGCAATTTTTTTCAAATACTATAATAGCAATTATAGTATGTTATATGTATTACACGTTATAATTATATGTTTAATATTTCAATAGTTTTTTCAGTTTTCTAATTTTTCTTATTCACGTGACGTACCTTTATAAATATATTTATAAATTAAATTTTACATACAAGTGAATATAATATAGTCACTATACATTAAAAATTATAACATAAAAATTAAAAAACAAAATTAGTTCTTATTTACTATAATATGTATTAGTTCGTTTGTAAAACGAATGTATTCCACGCTTCGCTTAAAATTTAAAAAAATATAAATAAGGTATGATAACTCTTAACGATCTTATAAAAATAAGTCATTAAAATATTTATATATTTTATGTTTATTTTCATTTAAATATTATATTCATAGTTTTCTGTATTACCTTTATTAAATTTATATTCCGTAATTTTTAACTCCTAGGTATATGCCTTATATAGCATAAAATAAATATATGCTTCTCATACATATTAAAGTAATAAAGTGATTTTATATCAAACTGTAGTTATACAACATGTCATATTGATTATCATTGATCTTATAATAAACTTGTCCATTTTTTTCCATCATGAAAATATATGGCATTCCAGGGCTTGATACATTTTTAAATATAGTTACGTCTTCATATGAGCCACGGTTGATGAACATAAATATTGGTATCCAACAATCCGGTGATCTAATCATTCTGTATTTCATGGTAGGCATAGCTAGTACATTTACTTGATTGTTAAAAAGAAGTATTTTATCTCGATTTTTTATTCTTTTTTGTCTCAATTTCCAGACATTTTGTTTATTTTTATTTTTCGATTTCGCTACTAGGACAGTGAATTTTTAATTTTTATAGGAGATTTTTTAGTATTTCTAATCATTTCTAAATATTTATTCTTTAATAAAAGTTATTACCACTATCCGAGTGAATATGATTCTTCTTGTCGTAATCTAGACCGTTGCTTTGACCTTTGACSCTTCTATTGGTATTTTGTAAAGATATTAAACTATAAATTTTATTAGTTCTAGAATATTTTGACCCGTCTTTAAAATTGTTGTTTTCGTATTTTATTGAGTGGGTTGTGTATAAAACTTTATTTTGTGACTGCTTAGAGTAGTTACGTGTATCCTCTAAAATTATAAATACATCGTGACATTATTATAACTGGTCATAGACTCTTGATGAATTAAGTGAATCTTAGTAAAAATCTAAGTGGATTTAGACTTTATAAATTAGTATCCTAAAAAGTAGAATATTAAAAAAATTTTTTTAGGAGAGGGTTTTAAAAACCTTCTACCTTTAATATAGGTAGTATCTAAATACCTATAATATAATGTATAAATCTATGATACACATACCAATATAGTATGTATACTAGTATACTGCGGTCTTGTTAAGTATTTAAATATTTCTTAAATACCTTAAAATAGTATTTTCGTTGTGCTTCAATGATCAATATTATCTAATTTTATATTTTAAATTCTGTTTTTAAAATTATATTTTTAATGGTGCTATAAGAAATTATGAGTTTTTAATAGATAAACAGATGGCTGAATATTTAAAATATAAATATTCTAGTAGAAGCTGAACTTGGCTCTAACTAATTACTATAAATTATAACGTGTGATATATAAAATTCTTGAACCAATAAATTTAAGTGTAGCAGTAGAATAGTAGATATATAGCAATAATACCAAGAGAAACTCCGATATCCGAGTGAACATAATTCTTTCTTTCGTAATCTAAACCATTACTACGTTTTCCGGCACTTCTATTGTTGATTTGTGAAGATACTGAATTGTATATTTTATTGTTTCTAGAATAGTTTGATTCATCTTTAAATTTGGATTTTGTTGAGTGTGTTATGCTTATATCTTTGTTCTGTGACTGCTTAGAGTGCTTAGACTGCAGAGACTGCATAGACTGCATAGACTGCATAGACTGCATAGACTGCATAGACTGCATAGACTGAATAGACTGCATAGACTGCATAGACTGCATAGACTTCATAGACTGCATAGACTGTATAGACTGCATAGTTTTCATAGATAGCTTAGAGTAATTACTTGAATCGTCTAAAATTACAAATATATGATAGAATTATAATTTTTCATGGCTTTATTTAAGTAAATCTTAATATCTAAATAATTTTCCACACTACAATATTAAATAATTATTATTTATATGTATTACTTGAATAATTGTTTTCTGGAGCTAATATGTTAAAATGAAATTATTGGTAAAAATATTATATTGTAATTATAAAAAATAGCGTATTCATATAACTTATCGTGTATAGGAGGAATCCAAAGAAATGTCCTGTATCCTTGTTTAATTATATTATCTATATGTATTGTTATTTATTAATCATTTCACATATTTTGAGAAAATATTAATTAGATACCTAAAGACGAAGAGTCCGATATTTTTGAATAAACTGATGATCGTGAATGCATTCTCGACGTTAACGTTTTTGAAAACTTTGATGATACTAAAGACGAAGAAATGTATTCATGAATTTCCAATTGTTCGCCTATAAAACCGAAAAAACTTAATATTCGTTCATATAAATTAATTGCTTATAATATTATACTATTCGCTCTAGATTTTTCAGTAGAATTGTGATGTGTAGATGGTAAATTTGAATTATTATCAATTTTGCTGTTATATAATTTATTTTGAAATTTGATTATATGATCCTGGCTCATTTGTATTTTACAATTATATTCTTTGTTATGTCGATTTTTACAAGATTCTGAACAAAGTAGAGCAAAATAACAACTTGGACAAATTTCCATAGTTTTCAATTGATGTTGCAAACATTCATAACATACCTGACTTTCTTCCTATAAAAATATTTGCAGATATATAAATTGTTTTTAGATTATAAATTTAAAATCTACCTCAGTGAGAATAATTGGATTACGAGTTGTTAATTTCATATATTGTAAACACAATGCGTATGTTTCATTTTTCTTTTTTTCTTTTAAATTCTAAATAATTAATTAATTTTTAAGACGAATCTTAGATCTTAAATATAATATAGGTATTGGGTACAAACAAATGTATTATTTTGTATAGTTCTAAATGTAAATAACTGAGTATTTGACATATTCGCGATTTTTGCTTGATGTATCGACATTATAATACCCAAATTCAGCCAAAGTAACATTGCCATTTTCTCATCAGCTGATAATAAAGAATTTTTAAAATCATTTCTAAAAATGATTAATTCGTTAAATTAATTAAACATTGAAAATAGTTTTAAATGCTTAGTCATATTTCATAATATTAAACAAATATAATAGGTTAATTTTATGGGGTTTTATAAATCTATAGCTATCAATTCCACCGAATATTAATTGTTTATATGTTGATTCCACAGATTGTTGCTTAAATGATAACCAATGTAACATACTACATAGAATTAATTTTTTTGTAACAGTATAGGTACACATTTTAATCAAAAGTACACATTTTTATTTAGATTATCTTCGAACATTATCGACTGCCATCCACAACGAGAAAACTTGTAATATAAACATACAAATTATTTTAGAAAATTTATGGGTACCTATTTCATATTATAAATTTACAACCCAATTATACATTTATTATGAAGAAGAAAAACAATAAAAGACAACGTTCATTCAAATAAATAATAAAATAATATATAACTCCTAAATACCTATCGATTGCTATATTTACAAAATAAAATAGAATATTCCTCCCTATTCTAATTATTCATGTTAATTGTATTTGTCAATTTATTATCAAACCTACTCATTATACAAACAATGTATAGATTGTAGATTACTTCAAAAAAAAATATATATATATATATATAAAATAGAATTGTTAGTTTTTAAATAATAACAATTTGATGTCTTATGTTAATGTAATAATGTATTAAAGAAAGATTTATATAAATAATTGAGATAATAAAATATACAAAGTATATTTTTTTACAATATTAAATTAGTTGGTCATTCATAATATATAATATAAAAACAAAATAATACAATTC